ACTATCCCCCGCCGGACACCAACCCGGTATTTCTGAGTCAAGGTTTCGGGGCCGGGATTACCAGGTAGGACAAATACTGTATAATTACTTAAATAGATAAAAATGGTAGAAACTATCCCCCGCCGGACACCATCCCGGTACTTCTGAGTCCAAGTTTTGGGGCCGGGAATAAATGTTAAAAGTATAGACCAAGAAAATATAAAAGGAAATGAATTGTGAAATCAGAAATAGTGTTTCTTATAAGTAATTTTGAATAAATTAAGAGATTGACATTCTTGAATTCTGATTGGGATTTTGTTCCAAACTTTTGCTCCAGAGATTTTTAAAGAGCCATTCATTACAGAGCAATTTGGAATTGGGGGGATAACATTAAGCGAGTGAGCGTATCTCGTAGAATATCCATGTCGGTCAACAACCATTTCTATATCATTACATAGGCGGGAAGGCGCAACACCATTTATACATTTGTACATTAAACATGCAAGGGCGTAATCTCTACGTTCATCAAAAAGTTTCCAATTATTTTGATTAATAAGATCAATTCCACGAAAATTTATAAAATCAAAATTATTTTTAACTATTCTAGCAGCTCGTTTTTGTAGCCTTAATAGAATGTTTTTGTTTTTGTTAGACGTAGTTCCCCACACTGAGATTGCATAGTCCATACAGGGTTGTATTGTACTTCTATAAAGAATATTCAGAAGAGATTCGTTTAGTGTTTCTGCCAATTTATTTAGGATGTTAATTTTGTACCCAATAGTTTTATTTAATTTTCGAATATGGTCATTCCAGGTAAGGTTTTCATCAATTTGAAGTCCTAAATAACGGATGTTTTTTACCTCATCAATGGTTTCATTACCAACATGAATATTCAAAGAGGAAAGAGGGCGAACATTTCTATTTTTAATTAACATAAGTTTGGTTTTGGTAGAATTTACAAGTAATTTATTAAATTTATACGAATTTGCGACATTATTCATTATTGATTGTAATTTGATATTGATATTTTCTACCGATTTGTCAGTAGTGTAGATGACAACATCATCCGCATATATGCTACATGATCCTGGAGATACATATTGTGGAAGGTCATTAATAAATAATGAAAATAAGATCGGTCCTAACACACTACCCTGTGGGATGCCAATTTCAACATTTGCTTTTTCAGATAATTTATTGACTACTTGTTTGCGCTGTGAAAGATAACTTTTAAAACATTTGATTTCAGTGTCTTTAATGCCATAATTTTCTAATTTAGTTAGGAGAAGGGTATGATCAATGGAGTCAAAGCATTTCGATATGTCGAGAAAACAGGCTCCAATCATTTCATGGTCATTCAAAGTTTCCATCCATTCATCTATAACTCGATGAAGGCAAGTGATGGTGGAGTGGTATTTTCTGAAGGCATATTGATCTACACTTATGAGATCATTTTCGTTTAGATAACTAACTAATTGATTTTGAATTTCTCTTTCAACAATTTTTGAAATATGGCAAACCACGGAAATGGGTCTATAGTTAGTCATCGTCTGCTTACATCCACTACCTTTATAGATAGGTGTTGTTTTTGCGAGTTTCCAATCCTCAGGAACAATACCCAACCTAATAGACAAATTTATTATAGAGGAAAGAGATTTTGCAATATATTGGGAGGCAACCCTAAGCAATTTTGAATCAAAATTCAGAATATCCAAATTACTGCTTTCGGACAGACCTGAAAGGGCATTTTCAATATTTTCAAATGTTACCATGTTAAAATTTAATTTGTGGATACATAAAGGATGTTTCCATTCAGGACAATAGATGTAGACCCAAGGCTACCCCTAAAGATAGGTGCCAACCCTGACGACAGATGTAAACTAATAATTATTTTGTACAGTATCATCATTACTTCATCATCATCATCATCATCATCATCATCATCATCATCATCATTATCGACATCATTATTTCTTATTATTAATATCAACATCTCATTGCATTATATAAATCATCTTGATCATTACAACAGAAAAAACATCAACAATAATAATAGATGTCTACAATTATTACTAATAACGATACTTGATTGTCACGACGATCATCTCGGTTGTAGTAATGATAAGAGTATTTTCTTTTTCCCAAACCAAAAAATTGAAAACTTGAATGGTAAAAATTACCTTGAAAGTTTCGCTGTTCTTACACGAACAGCTTCAGTTTGTTTGTACGCCTATACTCAATTCTCCAACAAACACTGTTGCTCAATTATTTTTTCAATACAGCTGATCACAGTCTCAATGATTATTTGTATTTATCTCTCTGACTAACACGGCTGTTATTGTCTTAATTCGTATATTGCTCTACTAAAAAACTAACACGGCTGTCCACAATAGTGGTGGCTTTTTAATTATCAGGGGCAAATTTAGGGTGACCGGCCGTCCCCTGTCCCCACAAGCCTCTTTTTTGAATTAAAAAAAATAAAACAAAAAAAGAGGGAGTTTGATTCAGAATGGCTTCCTCTGATTATTTTGAGTTACATTTATGTTAATGTATTATAATACTTAAACAAACACAGTTATACTACAAAATGTTGTCGCAAATATTGTATCACACTTCTCCATACTTCCGGTTACCGACGTTTTAATAAAATGTGCTGTGGACTTTTTGAAATTATGAAATACTGTACTTCTTAAGTAGTCCTTCCATCCAACTTATGTATCGTATAAGAAAAATGTTTATTTCTCTTATGACCTTTATAAAAACGTCTCTTTTCTCTACATAGTAGTTTAATGAAAAATAATCATTAGGCCTATATTTTATTTATTTTCTCATAGACAAAGCATCATTACTTACAGCCTAGAATCAATAATTACGTTGCAATTTACAGGTACAACAATATTAGTGTGTAATCTAAGTCATTATCTCTTACATTATTAGACAAGATTTTTTCATCTAATGTGTTTGTAAATATAATTTTATTACCATAGATCTATTTTTTTTTTGTTGACTCCACCAGAACTCTGTTACTGTCTGGTATCAAATTTTGTCTGGGCTGCATGTTCATCCCAGATAACATTAGCATACATTAAGATGAGTTTGCAAACCGTCTTCCTTCGACGATACAAGGCAACTGGAAGCAATTCTATAAATGCTTAATTCCTAACTTGTATTCATCGTCTCTAGTCCTAGCCTCCCCTTGCAATGTTTTATTTACCTTATTGATGGAAAATCTTAAAAGTTGTTTCAAGTATAGAATTAAAAATTGCAAACCCATTTTCTTATTTTATTATTTTCATATTTCAGCAATATTTAGTACTAATCCTTAACTTAAACAATCTATAACAAAGAGAAAAGTCACAATTTACATTTTTCATCCAACTATATCCAAAATATTAGAATACATTGTAAATAAAAATTAATAAACCATATGGTCCAGACCACTGTTACACATTTGACCAGATCGACGGTCTACACCCCCTGTAACTGTTATGTAATAATAAGCCCAGCCGTTATTACACCACCAACGATAAATACAATCACGATAACTGATATGACGGCTATCAGTCCTGGAGACATTTTTTTAACAGACGTCATAGTTTCTTGAACTGAAAAAAAGGTAAGAAATCTCCAAATTAGGGTGAAAATAGACACACACCATGCTATGACGGTTAGGAATTTCAGTTTAGATGATCTCTCTAAATGTGAATTAAATGTGTTTAGAACCTGAGCGAGAGGACAGGCACAACGGGGCAGTGGCGTGGCTTCGGGCAGTGCAGCCAGTGCAAAGTACTGGGCCCCATTAGGGGCCATTTATAAATAGGGGCCATTATATAAAATAATAATTTAAAACTTAATTTTGAAGAAAAAAAACGGTCAATGGGCCCTTCAATTATTCGGTTTTTAGAGGAGTAATTATTGATTACTGTGTTGATTTCAATTCAGTAGTGTATTCAATGGGACCCCAGCCAGATCGACCCTCCACCCTATTTTTTACCTCAGCCCCAACCATGGTAGGGCTGAGGTGGTCTACATCTTCCGCCTGTGAAAATTTTCCCCAACCCCTCTATTTCGAATTCCCCTATCACATCAAAGGGCCCGGCAATTAATCTTGCACTGGGGCCCTTCCGCACCTAGCTACGCCGCTGGTCTGGGGGACGAGCATTTACCAACTAGGGTGAAAAAACATATTTAAAAGTAATGAGAAATGTATCAACTTCTGAAAACTAATCTTCAACCGTTTAAATTTAACGTCCAAAATTTATCTCTTGAAGGTTATGTTTTTTCTTCGACCGCAACGACCACGATCCAGCCACATTTTTTGAATACTAACCTGTTTCACAGACAGACGGTCGCTTCATAGAACATTCTATGTCATTCCATTTACCATTTATCGTCAATAATTCAACACAGTTTTCCCCACCAGTTGTCTCATCGTATGTTGACATCATTACTGATTTAGATGTTCTGATAATTGCAGTCACCCCACCATTATTAGGTTCGCCTAGGTTCCAGTCTTTAAAGAGTCAAAAGATAAAAACAGAAAGTAATAATAATCATGATATTTACTTTGAACGTTAGTTTTCTATACCAAAACATTAAACACTTTTCGTTATTGAACTATTTGTTTTGCGGATGGTGTGAAGAAACGTCAAACCAACCTCTCTTACAGCTTATGACAAATTTACCATTATTGTACTAGAAATAAAAAGGTCCCAAACTCACTTGTGAAGGAATTGTTTTGATTTCTTAGCCAAGTAAAATCGCCCTCTTTCGTACTGTCACTCAAACCTATCCATGTAGCTGGATAGCCACCGTGATTCTTTTCAACATGTTCTCTCAAGAACTCATTTTCTAATTCAGATTCGATGTGAACTAAACTTGCACCCTTCTTCTGACAGTTGCTGTTAGCATCGTCCCAGGTACGGGGCTTGGGGTCCACGTAATAACATGATGTGCTCCATGATCTCCATGATGCCTGACAAGGTGCTGCGACAAAAGAATTCGAAAAAAAATACATTTACAATGGACTTATACTAAAATTCAATACGGCCCAACCTGTTATCTATGTGGTTTCTCATGTAATATGGTATCTAATTTATATAAATTTTGATGAGTATCGGTGAAACTTTCCCTCACTATTAGGCCTATATATTTTCGATTACATAGAAATAGATGCACTAAAACTGTAAATACGCTTATGTCATTATATTGCGCTGTCGGCGGATACAATCAGACACCAACACACAGCCACCTGCCACGCGCGCTATTCAAGCCAGAGTAATAGGTTCGTGTTGGCGACCTGAAATATATATTACATTATATATCATATTATAGTATTATTATTACATATTATTCTGAACAGATTTTAAATGGCTGAAAAGGGACTGGGTAGAGGGTCGTGTGTGGGGGAGGGGCGGTGGTGCGGTGTGATTTCCTCACGCCTGAATATTTGTCTAGCTTGGAATCTCTGTAATTGGTTGAAAGTGCACATTAATTTATGCTGGAAGTTTGACTTTACGTTCAATGGGAAAAAGTGTTTTGTTCAAAAAAATTGGCAGTGGAAATAGTTTGAAATTTGATGGTTAGTAATAACATGTTAAAGACCATAGCAAAAGTCAGGGGAATATAAAAATACTTCATAATTATACTTAATTCAGTGAAACTTACATGCAACATCGGTACATATTACCCCAACGTGTGCCTTATGTTGACAACCCACATCCGCAGCAGGCTGATCAAGTACACAATCATGAATGACGTGTTCATTTCCAGAGCACACCATTTCACAGATCTGGGCGGGGTCGTTACTGTTGCCATATTCGGAATGCGAGAACGCCTCAATTGCTGAATGGAAGCCTAGATGGTGGCACACGGTACTAGCGTCCTCTAGTGTCCATGCACTGTCAGCTATAGGACCCCATTTGTTCCTGTAGTAGACCTCAACTCGACCTTCATTATCGGATTTACCGCCAACAAGTCTGACAGAATAATCTGTAATACAGAACCATTACATGTTAAAGTTATCCCACATTTACTAGTTAAAACGTATATAAACATTCTGAAATATCTATCTGTGATTGGTTGCAATAAATTCCATACCGGCTTACGAAGTGCGCACGCTCATTTAATGTTAACTTAATGAAATGGAATATTGTAAATTCTCAGTTAAAACCATTACTTCAGAGAATTTGGATTTGGATCATCATCATCAAATTTATCATCATTGTCATTATCATTATCATCATCGTTTTCATCATCTTAAGCTTCATATTCATCATCCTGCACATTATGATCAAGCACTTTCACTGCTGTATAGACACATTATGTGAACGTAGAGAAAGCTTAACTATTAAATTTGCCCAGAAACATGTTAAGCATCCAACATTCCAAGCCTGGCTGCCCATACAAAGACAGGAATTAAAAAAATGCCAGCTGAGGAACTCTAGTGATCACCAGGGGCGGATTTAGGGGGGGCCGGCCCGGCCCCGGCCCCCCCCCCTTTTGGGAGGTAAAAAAAAGAAAAAAAAAAGAGAGAAAAAGAAAAAAATGATAGCCCAGAATGCCTCAAATGTTATGTTCGGGCGTCTAGAACACAAAAATTTCGCGGGGGCATGCCCCAGACCCCCTACGACAGTGTTGTCTCAATCGGTCCAACTTTCGGCCCCCGCTTCCGGCCCCCCCTTTTGGACATTTCTGGATCCGCCCCTGATCACTCCCCTATTCGCTAAAAAACTGAACAATTCCGAAGAATCCCAATGCCTTATTTTGCTGGATTTTTTGAATAAGTAACTATGTGCATTTAAAGCACGAGTACAGTAAATGAATTGATAACTTAAAAACGGTCAATAATGCCAACTATGAGCGATGTCAGAATGAGCCTTGGTGTAGATATGACCAATGGAGTTTACTTTTGTTCTTGTTCCTATCCGTGGTTATGTAATGACAATTTTTGCTGTATTTAATGTTTTCTACTCAGTAGAATGTAATGTAAATAATGTGCACTTTAAATCCGTCTTTTCTTTTCCTATTTAAAAACAATAATATCAATATTGTCATAGTAAAGTAATAGTTATTTGATAATAGTGAATAATGAATGACAATTATTTATATATATAATTTATTTAATTATATATTTTCCAATTTGTTAATGTTGATATTGGTGGCAATTTATTTGAGAAATTATTGATGTCCTCTTTTTATCTAAATATTTTAAATTACTTAATTTGTTAATGGTAATTTTGTTTTAATGGTAATGAATTATTAATTAATGATAATTAATTCTTGTGCAAATTTTTAAATTTTTTAGGTTGTGTGGACAGTATGTATTTTTGAATGTCTGAATAAAAATCCATTAATGAAATGAATGAATCCTAATCATCATCAAAATCAGTATCGTTATTATCACCACCGTCTTATTATCATCATCGGTATTATCAGTACCGTTGTTGTTGCCGTTTTCGTTGTCGTGGTTAGTTAAATTATACCTTTTTCGTGGAACTGGCAGATTCCACCAGAATATCCTTCTGTGCATATACAATAAGTGAACTCTCTGTCACTTTCGCACGTACCGCCATTTAGACATTTTGAGTTGCTGCACCTCCTTAATTCTTCAAAATAAATAAAATAGTTTTATGAGAAAAAGAACTACAAAATGGCACAGGCCTACTGATATCGTTCCAGGCAGTTCAATCACAATATGCCATTTAGTCTTATCTAATTTAAGATAAATTGACTGGGACATAGAATAGCTAACTTTGTTGATATATTATTTCTATGATTATAGAACAAGTAATGTGAATAAAAGGCAGCTGTACATGTGTACCCATGTCCCTGGCTTCTCAACCAATAGGCTTTATTAATCCTGGTCAACGGTTGCTGATATCCCAAAGTCAATTATGTCGATATGTGGCTGCCCCATTACACATTTGAGCTACTAACGGCCTATACTACATTCATTGTTCATTGTTTCTAACCAATCCGGTGTTAGCTTTCTGTGTTTCGTCTTGTACTCGCCTCCTCAGAAATAAAACTGCTAACTTAGTTGATATATTGTTTTTATGATTATGAAACATGTAAAGTATATTAAAGGCAGTTGTACATGTGTACCAATGTCCCAGACATCCCCACCAGTAGACTTTACTTATCCTGTTTCACGGGTGCTGACATCCCCATGTTCCTCCCGGTTTACTGGGCGCTGTAACCCTTCTTCCACTCCTGTCGTAGCTTACCTTGCTCACATTGTTTCCCTTTAAATCCAGGGAGACAAGTGCAGAAGAAACCATTTACCAAATTGTAGCATCTGCCGCCATTTCTACAAGGATTCTGAGAGCATTCATCTATCGCTGTATAAGAACAAAACGCATAAAGATAGGCTCTATAGCGACAATTATCAAATATCTGCAAAGTTTAACCTAGACTTGGAAACAAGTAACTGTCATTGAATTCATCATGTTATAATAATATTATAATTACCATTTATTATTATATATTATTTATAACTATATGTATAACAAGTATGAATAATCAAGTAAATCAGTGAAATATCTCGAAGTGGGCTACTCAAAGCCCATGTGACGTCATGGTCAATAAGATATTGAATCGGAAGAGTGAGATTATTATTTAATTCTAATTGACCTCTTACTGTACCTAATAGGCAGTTAACTCCTCTATAGCCAGTCTGACATTGGCACTCGTACCCCTGTCTCTTCTCAATACATCGACCACCATTCAGACAAGGGTAGCTACGGCAACTTAATTGGGCTGATTTTATAAAATGAAAATAAAATACGTATTATATATTTGAAAAACGAATATCTGCAGGTATCTTTAAAGAATCAGTGGCTAACCCCAAATTGGTAAGTGTAGCTCCGGATCATTTACAAATATTTCTTTTCCTAAACTTGGTGATGGATAAGGCCTAAATAAGCCGATAACTTCAAGTAGGCCTATCTGAAAATTATTGTCCTATCGAAAGATTGCCAAAAGCTTTAAGGAGCATTGTGGTATGTGCCTCAGAAAGAGATTCTTGAACGAAAAAATACAGATGCTGAAGTCTTAAGAAGTCGGTGTACGTAGATGAATTAAAACAGAAACCAGAGATAGTACTAGTCTGTGCCCTTTTCAATTTTTTAATCAATTACATTGTGTCTAATATAAAAATAATAATATTAATAATGACAACTAGGCGTACATTAATCGACATTAAACGGCTTCTCTGAAGAAATCAAAAAAGGTTGTATCAAACGAAGGAGCCTGGTTACATTAATCAAATACAAATGCAGTGATGACTGACAATTCGTTTAAAAATACCGTCAAACCTCAAATACACGCCCAATGGGCTTAATCTTGAGGAGAAGCCTATCACGAATTGAAGCCCCTCCCCCTTTTTTTTTCGTCTTTGCTAAAGTGCCTCGAAAAGAAGCCCATGGGCTTCTTTTCCTTTGCAGTACATACACTGACTTGAATTTCAAAGAAACAAAGTATATTTAAAATATGCTTGGTTTATACAGTAGTTTTAGGTGATTTAATAGCACTGCATGATACAGACTGATGTTGCAGTGGCACTATATATTGTTTTATAGTAGTAGCCTCCCAAAATCATTTTAAAAAGAAGCCCCCCTCCCCCCTCTCTTTACTTTGCGAAAGAAGACTCGAAAAGAAGCCCTTCGAAGAGAAGCCCGCCATCCAAAAGTCGCAAAAAAAGAAACCTTCTATTCGAGGTTTTGTCTTGAATTAGTCTTGGTAGTATTTTTTTAATATAATTTCCATAAATTTCAGTTGTCTGTCAATTATTTCAGTTATTTGGTACGACTATGTTACCTTGTGCGCACAGGGGTCCATGGAATCCTTTTGCGCAGACGCACTCGAATCTGTTAATCAGGTCGATACATCTGCCGCCATTTTGACAGGGTAAAGCAGCACACTCGTTTATATCTATCGGAAAAATGAGAAAATTTGATCGGAAAAAAGGATTACATTTGGACAGGGTCTTATGGATTATAGATTCCTGTAAGTCAATGAAGCTCATATCTGAACCCACCCAGCACGTTATTGTAAGTGGGGTGAGATCCTTTGCAGTCGCCCCACCAAAATTATGGAATCAGCTTCCACAATCTGTTCGGTCGTCTGCAAACAACATCACTTCATTTAAACAAACACTGAAACCTCATCGGATGGTACTTGCTTTCAAATAGTTTTACCATTTATGTTTTATTATATTAGTTAATTTATTCGTCGTTTTCTTTTTAATTGGCTAGGACAGTCAGACACCCAGCCTTTTGTGAGTTGCGTACCATCGAGAGTTTCCATGTTTTTTAGTTCAGTTTTTTTTTTTCATGTTTCCGTCTCTAGCGCTTTCTAAGTGAATATGTTTACTATATAATTCGTATTCATTATATTATATTATTATTAATTTCATATCACAATAATTAGTTTAAGATCAGTTGTAAGAAAAATGTATAATTATATCTATTAAACCACAATGAATTCATATTATTACACGTTTTATTTTCGTTTAACTCGTTATTTTTTCTTTAATCGTGTTGCGTTCTCATTGTTACCTGTTTCGCATAGAGATCCTTGGAAGCCAGGTTTACACGAGCAAAAGAAGCTGTTCACACTATCAGTACATTCACCTTGATGTTGACATGGTGATGATAAACAATCATCAATATCTACAAATATAGAATTATGGCATAATCAATGCACAATATCACATATATTAACTAAAATTAACTACAACGAATTAGGCTACAAGTGGAGTCGACTGTAAGGCCTACAATATACAAGCATAAGAACCACCATACGGTAACTGTTAAGCTTGCTTGGGGTTGAAAAGTCCAAGAGGGCTGCCTGGCTTATTACTCATGCGAACTCATTCGATTTGAATAAATGTTACAGCATATGAATATAAACCATACAATGATTCACCAACTTTTTTTGAACACCTATTTATATTACAGTAGAAATTTAATGAAACAATCTTTCAATGGAAGACTTCCTTCCTGTTTCGGACCACAAAGATCTTTTGTAAATAGCAATAGTACTAATCTAATTTTATGCAGTGCTCTACTTTCATATGTATATATAGAGTGTAAATAATTAAATATCACTTTTTTCTAACTTGAGAATTAACTTATCTTTTATAAATTTGTCCATATATATGTATATATATATATATATACTCTTATACGTATATATATATATATATATATATATATATATATATATATGTATGTATATATTTATATAGGCCTATATATAGGCCAAAATTACTCCCCTAGTCGCTCCCCCCACAAAAAATCACGGTCAAGTAGTTAAAAATCACCTAAAATCACCATATTTTTTTCGAATTAGCGCCCCTCAACTGATCATCGAGCCCACCGCCCAATTCACTCTCGCGCCCCCATCAGCCCCACTCCCAATTCAAGACTTCTAGATACGCCACTGCTATCTCAAAATACTATTCAATCGAGAAAACATATTAGATTGCTGTATATAATGTCTATATGGGTACATTCCTCCATTTCAACCCTGAATAGTATTTTAAACTATAGCATTTAACAAAATTTACACAGAAATGAAATCCCATTTGGAAATATACGTTCGATATTTTTTTATTATTATATTGTTTTTACTGAAACTATTTGACATTTTGTAAGATTTAAATGTACGGTATTAAAAGTTTCTTATAAACATAAATATTTACGTTTTGAGTTGAAAGTGAGCATAATGCTTCATGTATGGACTTACTTATTTCGCAGACAGCTCCCGTGAAGCCAGCGGCGCAGGAACAGGTGTACCCGTTGAATCTGTCTATGCACCGACCGCCATTTTGACAAGGGTCTGATTCACACTCGTTCAACTCTGCAGACGAATGGCACAAAAACCGATATACTGGTTTGCAGTCAATAAATAAATTCTGATATGTATAGAAAAACCAAGATAACCCATAACGTTAAATCTTGATTCAAATACGAGTCCCGAAAATAATAATAAATATTGGGCATTAAATTATCATTTAAGAACGAAAACAACAGGAGAAAACTTGTAAGTTTTAAATACAAATTCAATGTTCCAATTGAAGAGGGTTACGAATCGTTCTAGTCTCGCTTGTCTCAAAGACAAACGAGGCTTGAAAGATGTTTTATTATATTTGAACTTTTAAACTAAAAAAAAAACACCATTGTTTAAAAATGCATTTGAGAATTTATATAAATATGTTTATCTCTGGACATTAAGAAATAATCTAAACGAAAAATCGAAGCCCCTAGTAAATTTAATTTTAGAATTGCCCATATAATAAGGTTTATCATATGAAACTAATTCACAGACAGAAATGAATGAAGGAAGGTTTCGATATTTCAACTACCTACCTGTTAAGCATTCAGATCCACCATAGCCTATAGGGCATTCGCAGGCGTATTCATTAATATAGTCAACACACCGGCTCTGAGGGCCATACGAACATGGAGATGATATACATTCGTTGATATCTGAACAAAGACATAAACCCTATCAGTCAATCAATCGAATAATTGACAAAAATAACATGTTCTAAATGACATAACGTTTTCAATTTAAATTATTAGTATTTGAAATCAATATCAATACTGTATTGATATTTGTATTATTATAATTATTTAAATTATCTTCCTTATTGTTATCTTTATTAACATCATTATTAGGCCTACTATATTCGACTTCGGCTTGTTGAACTCGATTGGGACCAAACCATACCAGAGAATGAAATAGTGGTAACTGTTCGGCCGTTTATTCACGACAATTGTAAAACACACTAACCCAAAAATGGGCCAAAGATGGGGGCATACAAAGCGCCACCATCTCTCAAACATAAACGAGATTAAAGGAGGAGTAACGAGGTGGCGGTTGGAGTGTTTTAAAATCCCAAAAATTAAAACAAACTTCTATCGTATTGAAGCCATGTTCAATCAATTATCAGTCTCGAGCCCTTATGGCATATCAAACTTTTGACCCTAATTTGACCCAAACTACTCCACCTTTACAAAAGCAGATCCTGTGCCTGTGCTCATATAATATTGATTAAAATTGCATTTTAACGCTTTATTATTAAGTATATTTACAAAATTGATAATAATAATATAGTAAAGACATGAAGTGGTACAGGCCTATAACACACTTTAATGCATCAGTGTTGAAGTACGCATAAACTTTTTAACATTTAAATTTGTATATATTATATATTGTATATCTACTTAAATGTAAACAGTGTCAAATACACCATTAAACCATTTCTTAATCCAGTTTCTTATGTAAAAAAAATATTCATTATTGGTACAGTATAACCAACAATTGATTCGTACTTATTTCGCATAGGTCTCCGGTGAATCCTACTGCGCAGTCGCAAGTAATAGGTACATCCATCCACTCACAGGTGGCTCCATTTTGACATGGTGAGTCGTAGCATGCAGAAGGATGAGGCTGTACTGGTTAAACATAAAATATTCATAATTATTGTTTAAACAATAATCAAAAGGTTTACTTAAATGGGCGTTCAAGTTACCGAAACATAAAGTATCAACCTTTATATTTATACTTACTAAATATTTGTCTAGCCTGGCGCCTCCGTGCTATAGTAAGAGAAAACAACGTTTAATAAGTAATCATTCGCATTTCTTTAAAAAAAAAAATAAAATAAAAACACTATTACATGTGCCGGCCTGTGCTCTTATTATTATACTACTTTTACGCTTTTTTCTCTCGATAATTCTATCGAATTGTTTCATTTGACACTGTCGATCTGGGATTCTTATCTACCTGGAGGTGGACACATTGATGCGTCATCAAGCAAGAAAGAGCCCATTCAATTCAATTCAAACTAACATATATTTTCCTTAATTGACATGTGTTACAATATACATAATATGAAAAAAGAAGTTATGAAAACATGTAATGAAAGAAGGCTGGGTCCCGAGAAGAAAAATCTTGAGTTGGGCAAGCCTGAAAAAAAAAAAGGAAACTCGTTGGATAATCATAAATAAATAAATTAATACAACCTACAATAAACATTCACAATAAAAAAGAAAACTTTAATACAAATGACCGAAATAAATAAATAACAAATTAATAAATAAATACCGTAAGTAAATAAGTAATTACCGTACATAAATCAATGGTTATAGCAGCACTCATCGCGAAACGACCAATAATCAAAGGTTATAATTTGAAATCAAGTGATTTTTAAGCTTTGAGGAAAATGATTTTAAAGAAACGGAATTTAAGATTGTGGGTGGTAAATTGTTGATGAAAGTGGGACCCGAGTATCTAATATTGGGCTATTATTATTATTATTATTATTATTATTATTATTATTATTATTACTATTATTATCATCATTATTATTATTATTACTATCATTATCATTATTATTATTATTATTATTATTATTGCTATTATTATCGATTGCAATCGATGTGGACGTGTTTGCCGTGCCCACATTGGCCTCCTGTCACATTTGAAAGCCTATCAAAGAAGATGATATTATTATTATTATTATTATTACTATTATGATTATTATCATCATCATTAGCAATATCATTATTATTATTATTAGGCCTATTTTTATTATTAATGCTAAATATACTGTAATCAATTAGGAAGTCTGCTTCATATTCAATAGTGACACGATGCTACAAGTTCAAGGAGGTACAGTACTTGGGTGTACATATTTGAATGAAAGCATGATGGAAACATGTCTGTGTCAGAAGATTTTAGAACTAGGCCTATTAATTTACGGTCGGCTTGAAAAGACTATTTAAAAAGCAAAAAAGCACATCTGAAAATATTGATAATAATATACAAATAATGATATGATAATAATATACAATGATAATAATATACAAAATTCAAAACCATTTATCGATTCTTCAGCCCAATGAACATATTATTAGATTGGTATCACACAATTTAGTCTGTTGGGAGACTTTACGTCGTACCTCGAATTTTTATTATACATTTCCATTTTGTTTTTTGCTAGATTACTACTTAAAGATTGTAAAAAATGATTTGGAAAAAAAACCACAATACAATTAAAAGATCTAAAAATCATCATCAATCTACAGTACGAAATTTAATTCTAATGTACCGTAGCATTTAATGACATGTTTGGAACATACCTTAGGAAAATCTTATTTGCAGAGATTATTAAGATTCAAAAAAAGTTAAATTGAAAATTTACATAAAGGATAAATACAAAAAAAGCTCACTAGTTACCAATTGTGTTTATAATATTGACCAGACGCCCACGATTAATAATTATACTAACACTTATATCAGCAATCATAAACCTACTGATTACCATACTTCACTTAAATCAATTATGAATTGGCGAGGTTTTAAAAAAGGAGAAATTCTGTACAGAGATAGGCCTAAAAAGGATGTCATTGTATTCTTGACCAACAAGTTCCGGATAAGTACCGTACTGATATGCATGCAGATCAACTATCCGGCTACAATTTACAAATCCTCTTCCGATACGAGTTAACTTTGTTCTTTCTCCCTGTCGAATCTCGTCATCAATTCCGTTGCGTGCGTTATGGGCATCTGATATACAATATAGGCCTAGCCTATTTATGAGAATTAATGAATATCTTCTTTTCTGTTTTTTTTTTTTATGTAACCACTTGAACCACTTGTCAAGAACGATAAAATTTGAAGAGCAAATGAGCATATGTTTGAATCAAGTGTAATTGCTCACAAGAGGTGGTTTCCTGTACAGCTCACATTTTGCCCTGGCTGTACACTTGACGAACTTTCTTGTTTTGATTGAATAGATTACTAGGCCATCAAAATAATGAGTTAATACCGTGTCCTATTTAAGCACGTGTTTTTCTATCTTAATTTTACCATCTTATATAGTTACACCTGGAGTTTAGCCGACTGAGCTAAGCTGTTGGTAGTATAAGTGTAGGTCGAGGCACTAAATTTACTCAACTGCACTATTCGGAAAGGTTGGAGTGGGACAATGATATGTACCAATCGATAAAAGATACAACATACCCTACGCGGACTTTGTGGTAACGTACAGCCCTAATAGTCCTTATACATAAACATTTTTTAAGAACAGGGCCTACATATTTATTGCACACTATACAACTTAGGCCTACCAGTATTTGATGCAGACCTATGCAGTGGAGTCATGTGTTATTCAGAAAATAAATATCACGATAGACTAATAAACCTATCATTAAGTATACTGTTGTATTTACGTAGGTGCTTGGATAGTAGACCTATATGTGAGTTTGTGAGTTGTTATTGATACCCAATAGTTATTTCGACGTGTATTGCACTAAATACACGGTCTGCGCGATAGACAAGCGACTGTAATAGTGTTTTTATTTAAGTGATCAGTGGCGTATCTAGGGATGCACGGGCGACGCACACGCCCCTTCAAACAATCCTTCCCCCAGTCGTCTCGTCCCCTAAAATCACCTCAAATCATCGAGCGCCTCCCTACCCCCTACCCCCCCACTTCACCTCCCCCTCATTACACCCTTCACCATTTCAATACCCCTGGATACGCCACCGACAGTGGCGGTGCGTTACGTTTCCAGGATAAAGGTGTAATCTACCTGACAAGATTTGTACGTCTATTTCCATCAATCTCCCCAGGGTAAAATATCAACGTCAGAATAAGTAATTGGTGTCAAAACGATTACTCATATTTAAACCGTATGCATCTTATCGCAACAGTTGCAAGTCATGACGAATACTTAGTAGAACTTTGTAACTTTGATGCGAAATGTTCATGGTGAGGACGACTAATAATAGAGTAATTACAAGAATTAGTGGATTAATTATCCTGACTAGGCCTATTATGTTGACTTTAACATTATTCTACTTATTCATTTTCGTCATTCTTTGTTAGAAATACATATTAAAAAAGAATGGAACAGTTACAAATTGGCATTATAGCATTATATCTATTGATATTAATATCATTATCGCCATAATCATCACTTCCTTCTGCCTGTGTCGAGTTTGTATTGTTTGTCCCTTAAAATACGCTGTAGTTCTTACCTGACACTAACGATGCTATAATAATTACACTGATTTGTGCAGTTTCTGTCAATAAAATAATTGAGTTTAAATATATAACTAGCGCCGTTTGCCAATGCAGGATTGCAAAGTTCCCTGGTCTTATGTACATTAATAATGTACAATGTGCAACATTACCCCTTGGGGGTATTGCAGTCCTGTTCCAATCTACCCACGCACTTCACTCTCTTTCCAGGTACCTATAGGCTCATGAAAAAAAGAAGACTTCGGTTAGCCTAAGTTTTAAACTCGGAACCCCTGACATGGATTGAAATCTCAATAAAAGTCTTACCCTTGACTCTGCTTTTACCATGTCAAATAATTTAGTATTTTGTTATTTTACTCAGTATTTGGGCGTCTAACGTGCCTTCAACACCGAATTTAGTTATGTAAGTTTACAACATGGGTTACCGAGGTGAATAACGAAACGAAATTTGGTATTATTTTGCGCAGCTTGTGGAATTGAAAAATATATTATTACAGGAAGGTGTTATCATTATTTTCATTTAATTTATTTCATTATGATTAGAATATAAATTTTAACTGCTAAATATGAAATATACAAACAGTAACGAGAAAACATACGGTACATCTACATGACAGGATTGCCAAAAATTCAAATTAATTACTGTCAGGTCTCTTCAAGATGATAACATGCAAAAAATTTTGATCGAAAAAAAAGTTTAATTAATAACTTCTGTTACTAGATGCACAATGTACAGGTTACTTACCATTCTTGTACCTGGTATAAAGGTAACGGCCACCTGGTTTGTATCCTATCACGTAATGTACATAGCATATCAAAATTGTTACTATGGCAACCAATATTAGACGCATTTTGTTGCGTTGTGAGCATTCGCGGGACGAGTTGGTTTAGTAATGGCAAAGTTTACAGCTAAACAGTCAGTTTAATACAGTTTCCTGTCTACAATCAGACTTCCGTCAGTTACATATCATCTAGTGTAGTGAATGTTTCGTAGGATATCATTCAAATTTGTTCATACAGAGTGGCAAACGATAAACTGCAAATAGGTACCTCGTTCAACATTCTTCATCAGGTATACATAAAATGCACGGACAGAAGATATTAATTATGACTATAACATGGCATGTGCGATGGTAGTTGTAATTTGTGTCCTTTGGGCTTGGAAGTATTCAATTCTTATGCCAGCAGAAAAAAAACCAAAGCCTTCCTATATATTTTTTGGAAATGGAATTGGCCAATTCACAAGCTCCTAATTTCCATGAAATTCTAAATTTATGTATCTAAAATTATATTTTCTATTAGTGGATTAGGTCTGTTGAATATATTATTCAAAAATGATATCAGTGTTTGTCAACGTTCGACTTAATCGTTGTGGGGCTATTTTAGTAATGATTCATTGTGGACTTTTATGCATAAAAGGGATTCATACTTCTTAATATATAGTAAAACAAGGATGCACATCAACGTATATCTCAACAGCATGTACACCCAGGTTATGTTGATTGTTTCATTCGATATATTCATTTAATCATTGGTGTTGCGAATGGTTGATTGTATGATTGATATTGATTGATTGATCGATTGATTGATTGATTGATTGATTGATTGATTGATTGATTGATTGATTGATTGATTGATTCGCTGTTTGTTTCTTTTATAAGAACCCCTTTAAAATAATACCTTTTTCGCAAATTTAGCTGTAATCTGACCACTTTCAAGTTTTGGTTTGGTTTGTTTTGATCAGCTTACTGAAACAATCAAATAAAATTGATCTATTGGTTCATTGATTAGGTAATCGACAGGTTTAGGTTAATTGGTGGTTGGCTGGTTGAACTAAATGATTGTTTAACTGATTGATTGATTGATTGATTGATTGATTTATCGATTAGGCAATCAGACAGAAAAGTAGTCTGCAGGTTTAGATAGGCCCAGATGATACAAAAATAGATCTTGCTCAAGGGTAGGCCTACAGAAAAAAAAAAGTCATGGAGTATAAATATAATTTAAATAATCATTAATATAAATAATCATTTTGTGAATGAGGGTGAAGGGAAAATAGAGGTCATGGAGTAAAATTTAAGAAGTGCAAGAGCGAATGAGCCGTCTTTTTAGAGTTTCGGTTTTTGTCAGCACCCATGTCGGGGAGGTGATCCCTTTCCGTGTACCATCTGTATCCGATAGTGAAGTAGTGAGACTAAGTAAACACGCTTCGTCATATGAATTCCAAATGAATAGAGGAGAATGATTCAAATTCACAATCTAAAAACACATTGCACACAACCTAATGAAATCAAATGCGGTCCCTGGGAACACGCTTATTACTGAAGAATATTCCCCTGTGACGTCAACACAAAACTCATGAGTATTACCCATATCACGTGACACGTGACACGAATTCACTATGAGTACATCAATTCCCACGTTACACTCATTAAAATTAATAACACACCTCGATGCAATTTCCTTGTAGGCTGGTTGGTGCGCGGGAGAGACATCACGTTATGGTTAAAATTCTATTCAAATATAAAGACAAAAATAAAATATCTCTTTTTGACAAAGTTGAAAATCCGTAGTCATTATTTTGTAAATAATACCCTTATCTTGTGTCACAAGATGAAAGGATACGTTCTATATAAAACTTCACCCTCGGGGTGATTATGAAGGCTATAAAAGTAAAAAAAAAGTTATTTAGTCAAGTAATGTAATGTAGACTGTCAAACAGTTAGAACGAATGGGATATACTATTAATAGCCACTATTTTGTATTGAAATTAATCACGCAGAAGTCTTATCCTTATCACCAAACTCCAAGAGCAACCGACATCGCATATAAAGGAAAAAATATGTTATTATTATTATCATTATTATTATTATTTTACAAAACCATAAACGATAAGGAATGAATTGCATGAACAATTTTTTACAGCAAAAGCAAATCAAACCAAGAAATATAAGCATGTCCCTTTTTCTTAATAGGCCGGCCAAATTCTTCCCGCGAAGCAAATTATTCTGGCCCGCGAGAAAAAAATAAAATTAAAAAATATATATATAGTTAAAGAAAAAGAAAGTAATTAATCATTCAATGAATATTTTTTCAATAAAGTGAAGACTAAAACGCAACACTGGACCATTTTGAAGTAGTGGTAACCCCACCCAGATCTAAAAATAAATCCGCTACCAACCAATTGACAAACTTTCAAGATTGGTAACCCTATTTCAGCTAAATATGACATAGCAGATTAAACAATGAAACTTTATCATAGACTTAATTGTTTTTATTATGTGTATACCCGAGATTTTACATGCGAAGTGTTTTTAGGTTTAAAAGCCCTGGTATTTAGTGGATAGGATTGGTGAAATTACACAGAAAATACTGATTGTGAAAAAAAATGTTTTTGTTATGTTTTGTTACAAGTATTCATTTTTGGCTTACCAGGGAGTAGTCAAGGAACCCGCACCAAAAGAAAGTTAGAGCTGTCAAAGATACAGTACTAGGTTAACTATATTTGGAGGGCCTCCAAACGTGAAGGCCCTCCATGACAAGAAAACACAATGATTAAGGTCAATATGATAGAAGAAAAATACCTAGTTTTAATTTGTGGGGAAAAAATCCCCAATTCAGGAAACGAATGTTCGTTTCCTGAACATTGAACAAAGATGGAGTTACACTTGAACAAAGATGGAGTTCTATGACTAGGTCTATTACCAGTCACCGACAACAATCTCACCGATGCAAAAAGCATGACAAGTCATATATACTGTATTATCATTCATATAGTGCTAAAAATTAGATAACTCCATGCTGGTACTGTCCATGATTTTTTTTTCTCCATAATCACCCGGTGACCCTGCAAAATACCTTGCGGATTTTAGTAAGTTTGAATAAAAGGGCCTAACAGCCCCAAAATGACTGGAAATTTAATTACTGTACTGTAGAGTATTTACGATTTATGGGTTTTAGAAATCCATTAAACACGGCCTCATAATGCTACTTTGTCAGACCCAGTCGGGGCCCTAAACTGACTTGGCCCTTCAAATACATAAAGAACCAGGAGCCTAGATTAAGAATTGCAATTTTACATTTGGTTACATTATTGGATGCTGACTTGGAGAGGGGCGAGCTCCCTTTCCACATCCTCTGGCTCCATCATCGATATTTAACTACATTTTACATCAGATCAAAGTTGAAATCAACATTTAATATAAAGTTAGAGGATGGTGAATAGAAAATCTGTTTTAAAATTTCACATTGTAGCACACTAGGTTAGAAAGGGAACCGAAGCCCCCAATGGAGGGCTAAAAGTTTGCCCTAAAAGCAATTTTAATGATCTGGAAACAACTGATATATTATAACCCCTGGTCCAGATAGAGCAAAGAGATATTTATATGAAAATGAAAGGCCATTAACATAACTCATTTTAAAAACAAAAATCAAGAAATTTAATCATATTTATTAAGATTCACATTCAACGTGTATACATTATTATACAAAATATATGTTGATAAAAAACACACAAAAATCGATTCCTACATCATTTAAGAAAAAAGAAATTGAACAAGTTTCAATGCAGTTATAGTACAACACATACTTTCCAATGCTTTGAATTATATAATTTTAAATTGTAGAATGTAATAAAAAAGAGTTCTCAGAAGCAATTTGTACAGAATATTTACATAAAATTAAAAAATAAAAATTATAAAAATATAAGTACAGGAGATAATAAAAGCATACATTAAGCGTGAATTTGAAGAAATGCATGCAGACTTTTAAAGAAATATGTTACAGTTGTTACATTTGGGCATTGATGTCAAAGGTCAAACTGAACCATATATGGGTCAATCACAAGAAACTGACACAGTAGAGTTGATAGCATGGGCTGAGCTGACACATATTTTAATAATTGGTGTTTCTATTGGTGAAATTGCCTCAGCCTGTCTACACATCCACGGGAACATAGATGCTGACACATATTTTAATAATTGATGTTTCTATTGGTGAAATTGCCTCAACCTGTCTACACATCCACGGGAACATAGATGCAGTGCTCAATGGCATTTGCATTTCGATGATGCTAACATCAGGTCACCTATTAACTGAACAGTTCAACTTTCATAAGTTGACTTTGCCTAACTTGAATAATTTCTAAGTCAATCTTATTTTACAGGCCAAATGTTGTGTATTTCATTAACGACCTGTAAGTCAAATTTTATCTAAGTCAATTTTTCAATGCCATTTTGGATTCGACATAGGCAAGTTCAACTGTATACACAAAAAAATATGAACACTGTAAATTAATATTTATGAACTGTAAGAAGGAAAGCAAATCTCATGACGTTTTGACAATAAGAAATATCTACTGTGTAGTAGGCTATCCATTTACATATTTTGATTGACAGGAAGAAGTTAATTATAAACACAGGTTTTGGCAATTTCAAACACTGCCCTCTGTAGTCCATGATTGTTGTACACTTAAAGTCACATGAGTCATGGTAAGGCTGGTGGTACTGCGCACAATACTTGGCTCAGTTTCAGGTGGCCGTGTGGGTCACACGATCCATCGAGTCTCAGCTACAAGCCATGCTTATGAGTCATTTCATATCATACTCTTAAAAGCTTTGCGGACAGTGATGACAAACTGTGAAAAGTTATTTGTTTCGTTGAGCTTGCATATTAGTTCATCTAGATTCGAAATAGCTGGCTGACAATCAGTAACTGACAAAGAGAAAATGTTAAAATTACATTATTAACAATTAAAAAAATTAATAAAAGTGGTGCTTTCCATGCCCGTTCCCATTTATTTATCTTGCGTATTCCCGTAGTTCGGTAGGCTTATCATAGGCCATACATCATCGTAAATAATTGTTTATAAAGATATGCTTGAGTCTTCATTGTGTTGTTTATTCGTTTGAACACTGTTTACATTGTATCTCATACACGGTTTCTCAAAGTGTTTCTTTACACACAGAGTATATGTATATTCGAGAAGGCACTTAGCTAAAAAAATCATGTTTAGTGTGCTGATTATTCAAGAGCGGCGATTATTCGAGGATTAGTTAGATGGTTTCTAAAATACTGCAAGTTCATTATTACACTCTTGTATTGTCATGTATTTATACAACTGATGGCATATAGCCATCTATTTTCAGCAATATTTACCTTCATATTTTTTGTCAGAATTCACTTTCACCACAAAGAAATATGGTTGGTCAGTATTATTTGGGTTGATTTGTGTAAAAACAATCTGCAGATGATCTCCTGAAAAAGAAAAGTCAAATAGTATATTAATCATTTTCTATTAGTATTCTATTAACATTACATTATACAGTATGTAAGGTCATTGTTGCATATTTTACATGAAATGACAATAGAATATCAATTGAGCTAAGAGTAAACATTCACAAAATATTAGACAGATTATCCTCTAGAGGGCAGTACACTGACTATTCAATAAAGTGAAACACAAACTCAAAATAATGGTAAAATATTAAGTACTGTACCATCAATTTTCTTGAAGGAAAATGCTAGCCTATCCTTGTAAAACATTGTGGCTTTCCTTAATTCCTGTAACCGTAGATGTGTGGCTTTTTCTTGTGCCACCAGTACTGTAAGCAAGCAAAAATAAATATGACTGTTTCAGAGTGCAAAGTAAAAGTATTCTACATCCTGCCCACACTCTGTAGAGCAGAAAGGCAATCATTTTTTTTGTCCATTAATTTAATATTTGTATAAAAAAAAAAGCACTTGTATTAAGTTTATGTGTTGATGTAACAATGGAATATTCAATCAAAAAATGTATGTAACTTATAGCTGTATGTTCCGTATTGGGTCAACAGAGTGAAGTAATACTTTCTGTATATTTAGGTTGATTCATTTTTAGTATTGCCTGGTTTACATAAAATCGCTACACTGTCTCTACAGTGTTTTCAGTGCAAATCATACTGCGTAGCAGTTCCAGACGCAATCGGGAAGGTTTCCTGATTCGACTAACCAATCAGCATCACCGAAGGCGTGTTGGTGATAGCATGTAGCGATTGTATGGAGACCAAGCTTGAGTTTAATATAAAACCTACATTCTTGTTCTTTTTCAATTTCTTTGGTCATAATTTTCAATTGTCCTTCTGTGCTTTCTTTCTGTAAAAGTGTTTCTTGCATTTCTTTCATTGAGGTTTCAATTGAGATCTTCATTTTCTTCAACTCTTCTTTACGTTCCTCTGCAACTGAAATTCAAAATAAGCTAAATATATTAAATTTTAGTTGCAAGATCAAACATCATACATAATACTAGCATATCTATAATAAGAATTTGGTGCAACACATGTACAAAACACACTACAGTAATTTGCTGAACGCTGCTAAATACTACAGTATAGCTTGTTTTAAGAAGGCTAAAGTAGTGTAGTTGTTTTAGTAGAATCCTGGCCTTGATATAGCATTTGAATATAGGAACAAGGTTTTGTAGGCAAGTAAAAGGTAAGGCCCCATAAAAAAAATGATTAGTTTATCATCCCCGCGCGCATCTCTTTTGACGAAATCGCGATTTTTTTTTTTTTTTTTACGCAAGATCAAACATCATACATAATACTAGCATATCTATAATAAGAATTTGGTGCAACACATGTACAAAACACACTACAGTAATTTGCTGAACGCTGCTAAATACTACAGTATACCTTGTTTTAAGAAGGCTAAAGTAGTGTAGTTGTTTTAGTAGAATCCTGGCCTTGATATAGCATTTGAATATAGGAACAAGGTTTTGTAGGCAAGTAAAAGGTAAAGGTCGAAACCTAAAGCTCTGGGAATCACGGGCTGGAGTCTCTATTTCCCTGGTGTTTAGGCCAGACCGTGGAAGACTGTGGGGGCTCACCACTCCTCCCACACTGCAGTCTGTTTTACCTTCCCAGCATATGCCGGTACCCATTTATACTCCTGGGCGTAGAGAGACAAACGTAGATAAAGTGTCTTGCCTAAGGACACAAGCGACTTGCACAGTAAGGGTTTTGAACCCCGTAACTCAAGGTTGAGAGTCCAAGCCACAACTGTGGCGCCAACCTGCTTCCAGTAAAGCACTACAATTTAGTAGATTCACTATATAAGTAACATTATAGTGTATCTGTGTATGGTACTGTAGCTGTATTTATTTGGTGCTATTATCATTATTCAATACTTACTTCTTTTGTTGACTTCTGCTTGATTCAACAATGATTGTAAGTTCTCATTCAGTTGTTGTATACTTTCTGTAAAATATCATGAAACCATTTTCAATTACGATTATTTTCTCCTGACAGTGGTCAGGGTACTACCAAAAAACAATCTCCAACAAATATTTTTTGTTTTGATTGTGGTCAAAGTAAGACAACTTCAACAAAGGTTCTTTTTTCTTGATTGTGTTCTGGGTACATAACAGTATTGTCAAATAAAAGCCACTTTCAGACGGGCTGGCAATATTCCAGTAACGATGAAGGTATGCCAACCAGCATGCACCCTTTTACAAAACAAACAAATATTGCAGTACAGTAATATTGCTGTTATAATAACTCAGGCATGACACTGGTAATATTGTATGTATACCAAGTAGGCCTGTCACAATTATGTTACACCTAGATATTATAATGCAGCCTACTGCAGCTACTGTACACACTACAATATTTTCAAAAATGTTAGTTTGCTGTGTTTCGATGTAGGCAGAGCTCACTCCCCCATCCTCACCTCCCCAACCAATACCATGTAAATGAATTTTAGGGGCAATATTCCATAATTGTGTTCATCACTTATGATCAAATTATCCAGAAATACTACTGTATCAAATTCAGAAATAGTGATTATTATCTTTAAGAAGCCAAACCTTTGCCCTTCTGAATCTGCTCTTCATGATTCAGTCTTGCCTGTTCTTGATACTTCTCTAAATCCTCTGACATATACTGATCCAGAAGCTTATGGCGAACCTGTTCCAGATTATTGCAGAGTTTGCCAAGTTCAGCTTCAGAAGAGTTTGTTAAAGAATTATCTGATGACATGATGTGGAATCTGCAAGCACAAGGTACAATATCAAAACAACAGACAAAATTGAAACTTGGCAGAAAGTTACTGCACAGATAATGCCAAATTAAGATTGTGCATGCAGTACTGTACATATCAAAGAAAAAATTGCCATGTGAAACTAAATTATATTTCTCATTTTTGTATTTATAATGGAAAAACATAAATGCACAGGCCTTAATTTACAGTCTGGTATATAATGTAGACCTAGAACTATAATATATTCAATAATTATAATTCCACGCACCTATTTTTCAAGCAATTTTCCATGCTGCAAATTTGAGCTAGTTTTGGGGGTAATAAATTACTTTACAGTAACTAAGGCGGCAAAGGCCTGAGTGAGTAGTCTACCTTGACCTTAGGGATTCGGCCTTAGCCCTAGCTAGTACTCAATACACTACATAGGGCCTACTAATAGAGGGCTGGCTAGAAATTAGAAGATGCATGTTTTCATTTCATTTCATTTTATTCGAAATTCATATACAGTATAAAAATTTCAAGGAAAAATTGAAAATTGGCATGATGTCTATTACTGTGCTGTCTTGTCACAGGGGCTGGAGGATCCAAAATTTTTAAAATTTAGTGGCAAGACAAGGTGGGCACGTGCCTCCCCGTGCCCACCCCTGTGTCACACTACTACACCAATGATTTTTGCACCTTCTGATACCATATACGTAAAAATAATTTAAATATCTATGGTGAATAAAAATTACATTTACAGTTATTCCCATTTACAAATATAGGACTAATTCAACTGAATTACAGACAATCGGGCACATGAGACGACCGGGCCCATTTTTGGACGATCGCGCCCAACAAGTGTGGACGATCGGGCCTACCGATGTAGACTTTCGGGCCCATTTTCTAAAACGGCGGGTAGACGTTTGGGCCCATTTTGCCAAAGACGATCGGGCCCATTTCCTCATGACTTCGGCCTCCGATAATTTCGGTCGGGCGAAATTTGTATAGGGCGCCATATGGGCATTATCCCACACCCACTATTGTTTGGAGTCGTCATCTATGCCGTGGTGTATGTCTATTTACAGCTAATTCAAGCACAATGCTTTTGTTAATATTTTTCTTTTTTTCAGGTAAGAGGGAATGTGGATTCTATCAAAGCAACATAGCCGTTGAGACGGTCTATTAGGCCTAAAAATATAAATTTTTTTTTTTTTTTTTAAATGATAAAAAGGGGCTGGTTGAAAAGTTTTTTTTTTTAGTAAAGAACAAAGCAGAAAAAAAGTTTTCTTGCTTTGCCACCCCTATTTTTTTCTCAGGTAGTGGGGAAGGTGAGGAGGGCAAACAGACAAACAGCCTTATTATACTTATGACCTTATGTAGAATTTTCTGTTTTATCATTCATTTTTATTTATACTGAGTGGTAAAACTGTACTTGAAGTTGTAAACTAAGGTAAGTTTCAGTGCATAATTAATAAATGTAATGTTTTGTGTTGTACAATTTGATATTCAATACAGATTACATTTATTTGGGTGGTGGTAGCCTGCACCCATGGACTAAAACACAATAATGTCTAAAAGTATACATGCATTTTATTTATGATAGCAGCCTAAATGTTTATTTGTTAGACAAATATTAAATAGAATGTACGGTATTATGTAGTATAATTTAGTGTACGTTAGTGTTATTTCATTGATGTCTTATTGCGTGTTTGAAATCCTGTCTCAAGATGACACAGCTGTAATCCCAAACAAGGTTGAGATATGGGCCAATTTAAATGATGATCATTCAATAGCAGCCTAATTTTGTTCCCTCGAACATTACGTTCCCTTGTAATGTTATTTTATTCCTTCAATAACATTTCGTACCTAAAAATATTATTTCATGGAATGAAATACTGTAGTATTTGTATAATGATACTCCCACCATCGTCGGCGCAAATTGTATTATCATATATTTCGAGGCAACAAAATGTCATTTTAAGGGAATAAAGTATAATTTGAATTTGGATCAACTACATCACATAAGAACTACAGTATGAGGACAAACTTATACTGGTTTGGTCTTTATTTCCTTTTGTTTCTGCTCATCATAATAATTATTCTGTTCATAGATAGATTCAATCATCACATGCTTCAGCGCATAGATTGAGATATTTTTCTGTTTTTAATTGTCCATTAAAGTATAACATCCATAAGTCATGCAGAGCCTTAAGTTTCCCATTTTTCCTTTGCCGTCTATTCAGCATACCTTGGGACACCAAGGTGAAACTATGTGCAGTCGACAGTTGGCGGGCGAATGCAAATACGCTGCGCGATTTTCCTCCATTTCTATGACAGTCCTGACTCGAATTTCTGTACTTCTAGCCTCGTGTCCATAGAGCCACTGAAAGTGCGTTGAATAAGCAATTCCCATCGCCACGAACCGCTAGACATTTTCCACTGGGGATAAAATCTACAGAAAACACAAAATGGGAAAACATATTTAGGCCTACTATTATTTAAAAATTCCAATTCGGTAGGGAAAAAAAGGAAAAAATCTTCACAAGGCTGAAAAAACACAGAAAAGCAATATGGTAAATGGTATAGGCCCAAGTAGATATTAGATATTTTTAGTAATAGTAGATATTTATAAAACGAAATTTTCATCAATTTTAATTATTATTTTTTTAAATGATTAATCACCCTACCTTGCCAAAACGTCTTCCGCCTGCTTGTCAGCAATGGTTTGGCACGCATCAAAGGGTTCCCTTGCCAATTGATCGTTTCTCATAAGTATCTGTTCCATCTTTACACAGGCACTTAGGACACCTTTACTTTTCGCAGACCTCAGTCTGCCTAGTGCGACTGCATACATGTAGCTGTACGGTTCATCACAGCACGTTGAGCAAATGTATTCCATGGGAATACTTGCGAGGGTTTCCAGATTACGATCAGAGTTTTTTTGCATCAAGCGTAATGCCAATACTTATATCGACTGCACCATACGGACCGTAGCCCGCAGTTTGTACTACACATACCGTACTCGCCCTTTCATTTGACTATTTTGTTTGTGATTATAAACAATTTACTAGGCTAGACAGTAGTAGTACTACTAGGACTAATGATGATGCGCCATCTCTCCTCATTAAAAATCAGGTCATTCCATTGTGTAGAATCTGCAATCACTGCTTATTTATTTCAGCATTCTTTTATGATGTTGTTCCATCCAGGCAAAGGTTGAGGATTACTAAGCCTATGTTTTGCCCCAAGTGTCAATTTGCAACTAAATGATTCGGACAAGTTCTTTCAATTATCGTTTTAACATAACTGGGTTGTTTTGTTATACCCCGAATCCTTCTTTAAGTCCGTTAAGACTCCCACCGACAATCACGAGACAGCAATTTTAGGGAGCAGAGTTGTCGGCCGACGGTCAGTGGCCGATTTTTTAGGAGAAGGAAGTAACAGTATGAGCACTTGAGACTACGATATAAAGTGCTATATAAATTTGTCTACACTACTTTCAAATATTCTCCCAACACGTTAAACGGGAAATTTCAGCCTTTGGCTACTTTCTGTAAAAGAACAAAATACACCTGAATAATCATAATTAGGTGAGTCGAATGGTCAAGCGGTTAAGGCAGGGGTGCTGCAACCTGCAGCCATAGTATTGGCGCTGGTTCGAAAACAAAAAAATATTAAGAATAAACAGTAAGCTATAAGAGCTTGCATGTAGGCCTACATTTTAAATAAATAACTATAATCCATTTTTTTTCTTTTTTGATTCATCACATTTCAATATATATGTTCAGACGTCAACCCGATATGATGTTACGATGGGCAGTACATAGTTTAATTACCTAATGAACCTTAACAAGACAAGCAGCACCAAACGTGGTATTTCTTATTTACAAAAGCTATAAGTAGGCCCTTAATAGGCCTATTAGTTAATACTGAAAAATGTAAAAATATTAAAACCAGTAAGAGGCTATTTCAACGTTTAATCAAAATAGGCTATAACTTTGTTGTATAATGACGATGGTAAATATCTTAAAAAGTCTTACTTTAGTCGACATAACTCGAATTGACTTGCAAATTGGTGACTGTGGTACACCAGTACGAAGTTGCCAACAGCACAATGACAAGTCAATCAAAATCGGTGCTATGAATTCGTTACCTCAGCACTCAACAGCGATAAAACTTGATTAAACAACCTGGAAAAGTTAACTACACTGATCTCCCACACACAATACAATGTCAACACACCAACAACTCACTCACTGCGACTCTAATGAAAAAAAAATAAATAAAAATACAACTAAAGCAGTAACCCACTCTCTTAAACGGAATCAAACTCAATGAAAAAAAAAAAAAAAATCAAAAAAATCTACCAGACTCAATAAAATGGAAACACACTCACAAATCACCCACTGAAAACGCACCAAACTAGAATGCAAAAAAAAGGCAGGAAGTCAACAACTGCAAAAATATCTAATCAGCACTAAAAGACTTTCAAAACATTACCCAACTCCTTAAAGAAAACGAAAGTACACTCGCAACGCAAAACAACAACACCACTATCAATAAACCAAGCACTACAATCTTCACAATATAC